TTWTRMRAWRKRGARAWATAKRKRTWTYWYAKAKAWWWWTATATGATAAATGGTATTCAATGCAGCAATATGCAGRAATTATGATAATTTTGACTCATATTCCAAGTATATRTTAAATATATCAGAAAYTATGGGATATTGTTGCCAATATGTTTCTTTTTTCTGAAAAGAATACCTTGGRGATGATATCCCATAATTCCTGATATATTTTATATACAGTACATGAAATATGAGCAAAAAAGATCATAATTTCTGCATATTGCTGTATGTAAAATACAATATGTACCTTAATATGGTGTATTTTGAAAAGGCATTAAACAGACTGCATCAACTAGAAGTGCTGGGRTCCAGGCTAGTGGTTGAATATGCAAAGAAAAGTCATGAACGACTGGCTGCACAGAATTCACACAGGTAATGTAGATCTGCTTCTCAATGGCCGMCTTGYGAATTTTGMTTAGTAAGTAGTCACACACAAAGGAATCAAGACKAGGCRCCRTGYATAAAGCTCAGTCAWTTGWGAYAAGACAATAGTTTTTCACAMTTGACTGAGCTTTAGGCACAGCAGCTCGTCTTGATTCTTTTGTGTTTGGCTACTTAGGGGAAATTTGTAAATAATTTTCTATATGTCTTTACATTAGACTAGGTAAAGCAAATAATATTGCATTCAATGATACTTTTTGAATACAGTAAGAAGATATTATTCAGCAGATTAGTCTATTTTTTATGCTATAAACATTAATCTATGACCCATATGTTGGACCTTGTGCATTTTTAAGAAACTTTTAACCAAACCTTGGCATTAAATAAGGGTTTTATCATACATCCCAATAAAAAGGAAGCCAGAAAATTGACCAATCAAAAAACTTTAGTAAGCAAGGAAAAAATCAAAATAATTGTAAATGACTACATGCCAAGTTTTTTTCTTAAAACTGCAGAAGTGAGACAGTTACAGGTTTTTCTTATACTCATTAATTATTCATGAGGTATCCAGCCAATCCATGATTGTAATTTGTACCACGTGCAGTTGCTGGAAACCAGAAAGTTTCTCCTACCTTGTTTCCAGTTACTTCTACCATATTTCCAGTTACCTCTATCTTTTTTCAAACTACTACTAACTAATAATTATCAAAGTATTAGACATAATCAATTTACTATAGAATTAATTTAGTGAAAAAAGCCATTATTAGGTCTTTGATACATGACTGCCTCACGAATCGATCCCCCACTGTCTATATACCCAGTTTTATAACATTACACCACCGAGTTTCTGATGAGATTCCTTGGAAGATAACATACTGTAGTTATAAATCTTATGAATTAGGCTCATTAGGAATGCCATGAATAGCAGACAAAGACAATTCRAATAGCTTTTGTTTCAGAAACCCATTTGGGAATTGGARAACAACAAACAGTTCTTCATGGATTCAAAATTATGAAAAACTGAAAACCAGGGTGGCGATGCAATAATTCAATATATTTCTGTGATATATATATTATCCCTCCCAAATAATTAATGAGTATGAGAAGTCATTCAAAGTCCTCCAATTTGGACTGGGTGGGATTTCAAGTCCTTGCAATTAGTTCCAGTCCTTGGCTGATGCCTCTAATGTTATCTCTTCTTAATGTAATGTTTTCAGAATGTCACCTAGCAGGGATAAGGAGGATGTTTTTGATGATGGCATTCAATTTGATAGAAAAGATGAAGCTGATATACAAGACAAGAATGGACAGGCAAAGAAGGAAACATTGGATGGTATTGCACCCAAAATTGGGTAATGTATTTCAGCATACTTTTTGCCACTGCCTTCTGCAGGTTACTTTTTACTTTTTCTCTCTTTAGGCATCCACCCTCCCMTCCCACAATCATCCTTTCGTCACAATAAAGGAATCCCAAATCTAAACATTACTTACAGCTCATTAAAACCTTGATGTTTTGAAATCACCAAGTTTGTACTGAGGATGTAAATAATTGGTTTTTTTTTCAGGATCAAATACAAGTCCAATCCCAACCTAAGATATTTATACCCACCTCCTAACACAGCCATCTTGACCAATATTGCACACACACTGGCTTGTGTACCAAAGTTTTATGTCCAGGTAACTATGAAAATACTGCTATTTTAGCTGGTTGAACATTGATCTTCTCATCAGCCAAAAACAATGTTTTTTTTTTCAGCCATTGCATGATCATTTCTCGAGTACACTATACTCTATGCAATGCCCCAATTTTAAGTATTATGTTGTTCAGTGAAAAAAAGCATGAAACTGTACCCAGTATAACAAGAATATTGTCAAGGAGGAAGAACCCATAATGTTATTGATTGCCTATGTTGTACTCATGAGTAAAAGTGCATGTTGTATATGTTATATAAAGTGTATTGGCACCACCATCAAATGATGGCATGACATGAGCATTCCTGACTGTGTACATGTATACTGAAATCCTTTGAAAAGTAATAATATTAATTGCCATATGATTTTAAAATGATTATTATCTGGTATTTTAAGGTGCTTCATTTGATGAACAGAATGAATTTACCAGCTCCATTTGGACCTGTTACCCCTACCCCACCCTCTGTAAGTAGGAATGGATGCACTTTCAATGTCTCTCTTAACTAAATTGTTTTTGGTTTAGTCTTCAAATGAGCCTTAATCAAATGGTTTTCAATATTATTATCCGTGTTGCACCTMAAGGTAGTCAAACAATACAACAAGGTCGCTCATATTGYATTCTTTGTTTCTAGTCATTCTATTATTATTTATAAAATTTTTGATATATAACGCGCGCTCTGATTGACTGACGACCGTGTTTATATCAGAGGACARAGACACGGCTTACCGGCAAAATTTTCTTTTCGCTCGAAAAATTTTATAAAAGAAATATAAAACGGCCGCTTGTGTCTCTGTCTTCTGATATAAACACGGTGGGAGTTGAAAAACAGGAGAGAAGCAAGAGAAACACTCGCTACGCTCGTGTTCCTAAGCTTGCTTAGCCTGCTAACAGGCGTTCCTGCTGGGGGGCCGAGAGAGAATGGGGCCCCAGCAGGAACGCCTGTTAGCAGGCTAAAGCTTGCTTCTCTCGTGTTTTTCGAACTCCCACCGTGTTTATATCAGAGGACAGAGACACGCGCACCGTTTATATTTCTTAAATAAACTCTAAAACAAAGGAATTTTCCCAGATTGGAGAAAGACATACAAATGACAATAGAATATCCAGTGAGGAATCAGAAATGGAAAGTGATGAAGAAGACAAAGAGAAAAGGTATTCATTTTTATTGCAATGTGAAATTGTTGAAGAACTGAGTCAGGCTGAKTCTTAATGYCAARCATTACGATATAGAACATTTATGTTGTCMTTTCTCATCAATGAAAATTGGCTTAATCTTCTGCTGTGCAGTTGCAGTACACATAACAAGCAGTTAGTAGAACGAAAAAGAGATTGAAAAGTTAATTTTTAAAACAGTTCCACGTTCTCTCTACCTTCCCAGCCCCCCATAGTCGCCACACTGGCTGTCACCGCACTACAAAGCAATCATAGAGCTCAGAAAAATAACAAGCAAATGTTGAAAGTCTGAGCTTTTTGCCCCAGCTTAAATGGGTTCTTTTTTGTATTTATTTATTTATCTTATCAAACYGTTTAAGAGCAAGATTGAATACACTTCAAAAGAAATCAAAGCCTGAACTTCAGTCAACGAAACGAGTCAAATTAAAACCCACCAAGGGTCCTCTACCAAAAAAACAAAAAACCTCCAGTAGCATTAAACAAGAGTCTGTCGAAGAAGCCTTTGAACAGACTGCTCAYCAACTTCGCAAGATTGAATTTAATCTCAACGATGCCATTACWTCTATATTTGATGCTGGACCTCCTCAAATGGAAATTCCTAATGATTCCGTTGCGAAAGGTTCTTCTGTGGTTGAAGGATTTGGGAAGTTTGAACCTCAACCAGACGTACCTTTGGATGAACATGTTGATGATGCCACTAACATGGAGGAAAGCGATGATTTTATTACTCTMAAAGAATTGGAGGCTAATAGAATGAGTCAGAAAGGTAAAATTATGCCAGTAATTATTATGGTTTGTGCTCTACTTCTCCTCTCTTCCCTCTTGCTAGGGCAATTCTTTAATTCCTTCCCGTTTCCTCTTTATTTCCGTTTTTTCCTTCACTTTTCTCCACTTCCTTTTCACTTCGCTTAGCCTTCCTTACTCCTGTCCACCTTAGCCTTGACCTTCCCCTCATTTTCCTTCTTTTTCACTTATCTATTCTCTTCCTTCCATTAGTTTCACTGCCATTTTGGCATAATCATTTCTTATATGTTGCAAAGAACTTTTTATACTAAAAATGGAAGATTAGAGAATTAAGACAAAAATTCGATTCCCATTACAAAAATTGTAAAAACTCAGCAACGTGATCAGTACCWGCAACCGATACTCATTTTCGTTTTCATATATCTCCCCAGAACTAAACACGACGTCCGCATTAAAGAACTACTCCGTAGGTGAAGTTACTAGTAGATTATACGTMAAAAACCTGGCTAAACAGGTCGAAGAGAAGGTATGCTTCATCTTTATTGGTAATTATTCGCATAGTTAAAGGAATGTCACTGAGGTTTTCTTTTACTTTYGGCAACAGCACTTATACAGCCCTGCATTAGATTTTCAGTACACTCAGTAAAGAGAGTAGTCCCCTTCAAAGGCTCCTCTTTTGTTGAGCTTCTTTCCCTCCTAAAAGGGACAGGAAGCTCGTCAAAAGCGAAGCCTGCGAAGGACAACTATATAGGAAGGAAAAGGATACTATTTTAGGGGGRATGTGACGTACATATGTAAAAACTCCTTGTAACCAGAAAGAAGAATCACATTTACCTATAATAGGTAGCAATAAACTATTTATTACCAAACTGAACAGCAAATCCTCCAAGTGAAATTATTTTAACAAACATCTTTGCTCCAACTAAACCTTACGTCAAATTTTGTGATGACGGAATTGTMATTTTTCAGGATCTTCAATATATATTCGGTCGTTATGTGGACTTCAGTTCCGAAGAAGAAAAAGACAGGTAAATAATTACGGTGGATTTAAACGATGCGATTTTTTTTCGTATGAGCAGCTAGTGAAGCCGTTTAATGTCCCTACGACTGTGACACGCAGGTCAGTACTTCATGTTAGACCTCATGAATTGTCCACTAACTAATATATTACTGTATTAGGTTTGGGGTTAGGTTTAGGTTATATATCGGGTCAGATCTTACATGAAGTACTAACCGACGTGCACTGCTCACGACTTGTATTACGGTTTTCCAAAATTAGCACTATGGAACTTGTGTATCCTCCAATCAAATTGCGAGTTTAGCAAAGGCGTTTGCGGATCGTATACGACTGCCCTGCTCGTAA